GAAAATGAAAAAATCTGAACTTTTCAATTTAATTAAATTAGAAATTAGAAATAGTGATAAAAATCTTACTAATTGATATGATCATATTTATAACAGAACATCAATCAGATGTTTTTCGACATTACTTGGATTTAACTTACATATATATATATATATATATATATATATATATATATATATATATATATATATATGTACTAAAGTAAATTCTATAAAATACGACATGACAAGCTGCTTTCACAAGCTCTCACTTTTCTTGATTTTGGATACGGGAACAGGCAACAGTAAGATTCAAATAACTTTTTATGAACTTATTGTGTACCAATATAGTTCAGATGAGTTCTAACTTAAAACATATTCTTAAGATATGTTAACTGGATGTTACAGATATCCAAAGTAAACAATAAATTTGTCTACAAATTTTTAAAAAGCTTCTTGTTCCACAAGAAACACAAAACTTGCTCTCACATATGTCAAATAACAAAAAAAAAAGAACTAAGAACACAAAAGATTTTAACTTTGCATTAAGAACCCAAAACAATGACCGAACATTCTGCTTTAGAAAAGCTGTATTAAAAAGCTTAATCCTTTTAACAACATTCGTGTTTAAAGATTTGACTATTTTAGATCGTCTTGATGAAAGTATTTTTACTGACTTAAATATCAATATAATTTAGTTATCTATAATATTTTATATATGAAAGATATGATAATAAATAGATTTTCATAGCGTAAATAATTTATTTTGACAGTGTGGGTACCATATTAAGTCAATCAATCAATCAATGTATATAATTAACTGCTTCGAAGCATTAAAATTAATAATTAATCCATGTACTCATGTTTTGGAAAAATTTTTAATATTCTGGTAATTAAAAATTTTCATTTCATTTATGCGAGTACCTTTCGTACTATTAAAATTGTAAAATTTAAATCCTGCAATTTTTTAACTAATAAGTATGTATGTACATTAATTAACGAAGAGTATATAATATACTGCACATATACATGAAAAAAAAAACAAATGAGAAAAAGACGTGGCAACAATGAACAAAAAATATTAAAATGGGTATCCGCAAGTGGAAACCGTGGAAGACGACATTCGGTACGGTGGAAGGACAGGATTTGGAGGCATTCGGCACTACCAACTGGCGACAGCTAGCAACAACTAAGCAAGTAAGTAAGTATCCTCTCAAGCAATAAATACTAGCAGCTTTGGAGGATATTAAAATCAACAAACCTATAAATATTTTCACACCTAAGCTATACAAAAGAATCAAGACCGGATATAAATTTGTTAAATTGATCGTGTTTCTTACTTTATTGTATGCATTTCCCTTTATCTTAAGAAAACACATTACATCCATTTTTAAAGGTAAAGAGCAGTTTGTTTAGAACACATTTGCTTTTAGCACATTGTTATTAAATAATATTATTACATTTATTATGTCATTCACATTAGTGTTTCACAATCCAAAAACTTCTAAAAATCGAAAAAATTTTTAGTGTTATTTAGCGTTAGCATTAATTTCAGAATACCATTTCGAACATTTACAATATAATACTTATAACACTAAGAACAGTAGTACTCACAACGCGAATCTGTAGCTGTTTTCGAATTGATCAATAAGAATTTATGCTTAATACTATTGTGAAAAAATGCTATATTAAAATCTCAATGCAGTGATTCCTAACTTGATATTTATAAATATTTTCCACAATTATAATTAAACACTTGGAATATATTCACGATTTACAACCTCAATAAAAAAACAATCTCTGTTATCAATTGATTTATACGTTTTTGGATTAATTTGCTTCAATGGTACATTCAAGTGGAAGCTTGATTCTAAACACTCTTTCAAAAACTTGATGCAGTCGAAGTCTTAGTTATGAAAAAAATAAAAATTTGTGAATTTTGGTTCCATACTTTAATACTAGAATATCTTGATTTAATTATATCAGCAACCTACAAGTTTCTCTATCAATAAATCAGCATTATGAAAAGCTTTTTCTAGATCATCCTTATTTTTTCATATGTTTAAATATCATATAAAAGAATTCATCTTCTATCGGCTAGTCAATCTTCTGTTTTTCTTTGAGAATATATTGGACAAAAACAGTTACCAATCCACTTTTGGAGTATTGATCTTAACAATCAAAGTATCAACTTATATTGTAAAAAACTAAGAAAGTAGCAACACCATATGTAGTCTCTTCCAAGAAATTCTTCGAGTTTGTCAAAACAAACTGTTTCATCCAGCATTACTCCCGATGATTCCATCGGGATTGTTTTGATCGCTAATTGCAACCATTAAAACTTTTATCTATTAGAACTTTGCAAGTCTTTTTTTGTAACCTTGCAATCTAATTAGATTGAGACTTTTAAAATGACAACTAGAAAGATACTGTGTATTTGAGGAAACGACTAATGAATTATCCATTTTGAGTTACTACCGCTTGAAAAAAAATCGATTCAAATATATGCCACTGTTCTTCTATGCTGCCAACAATAAAAACACTTGAAAAAACTCTGATATCTATTTAGTTATCTATAAACCTTTACTGTTTTATACTACACATATTTTTGATGACTACAAACACTGAGAAACTTTGGTTTTAATCCATTGACAATGTGTTTTCATTAGTTCCTATCTCTGTAACACTGCTTCAAAGCGTGACTGTACCAAGTACGAGTCATTAGAAATTGTGTTTGTAATGAAAAATATGTTTTAATTTTATGTAAAATCATTTTTTCATTTTTTGTCTTTAAATTTTAAATTACAATAACAATAAATTTACAATAATAAACAATATTTACAATTAAATCAAACTTACAAAAACGAACATACATTAAGACTGAAAAGTTTTCGGAAATTCTCATTTAAAATTCGCGCGCTGTATATTTTTCGATATTTTAAGTTTATGTAGTTTGGCAGCACTGTCCTTAATTACTATGCCAAAAATGAGCGCGATCTGTCAGACAGTTCGTTTACGGCAGCTGTTGAAACCAGTTCACCTCAGTAGTGCGTTGCGAAATGTCTTCGACGGTCGTACGACCGTCCTGAAAGGCTTTGTACCACTCATAAACTTGAGTTTTCGATAAAACTGATTCCCCATAAGCCTTTTGTAGCATTCGCAACGATTCTGCACACGAAATTTCGTTCGAAACACAAAATTTGATGCAAACTCTTTGTTCAATATTTTTTTCCATTGTTTTTTTCGCAACGCACTACTGAGGTGAACTGGTTTCAACAGCTGCCGTAAACGAACTGTCTGACAGATCGCGCTCATTTTTTGCATAGTAATTTTCCTTAATTGCTGCCAAACTACATAAACTTAAAATATCGAAAAATATACAGCGCGCGAATTTTAAATGAGAATTTCCGAAAACTTTTCGGTCTTAATGTATATCAACTGGAATGGAATTACTATATCATGCGCGGAGCGTCTACATAAACTGCAGATTCCTATTGCATTATTTATTATATGGTGAATTTGGTCCTTAGGGTGGCTTTTCGAACGAGTTTTGTAGATCTGTGCTCTTATTACATTTCTTAGAAAATATGACAATCAACGTGTGGAGTGGTTGAACTAACATGTTGCGTCAAGTAAGAATATTTCGACATGAGATTTAATTAAAATCTGATTAAATCACCAAAATATTTTTCAGAGTGTTTGCTTACACAATAGCCATACCCCATACCCCCTACACCCAGCTTCCTTTATTCCATACCACGCCGATACGTTCTGACTTACATATGGTATACCTATACATCTAGGCACTAAGTTTTGTTATCTCAACTCTCTCTCCTCTAATTACTCACACTGCCATTTATTTATTTCTAATAGATGGTTTAATTGGACTAATACACTGTTTTACCATATAGTAAAATTATAAGATAATTATGATGTATCCTAAATCCTAAATTATGATCTAGAATCAGGTTTTTTCTGTTCACGATTATTTTTGTAAGAAAATGTATTTCCAGAAACTTGGAGAGACATGTTCTACGTTTATCGGTATATAGAACTTAACGTCTTCTAGCGATTTAACCTTATTATTATTATTATTTGTTGTACTTTTCAGTGGGATGGAATGATGCCTTAAGCGATGATGAGACATTGTAATTATAAGTACAACAGGAGTATAATCGCTTGCTTGTTTTTTTTTTTTTTTAATTTTTAGCGTTAATAAGTCATATCATTTGAAACTTTTTCTCAAGTTTCTCATTTTAAAACTTTTTGTGAATGACACAATACTGAATATGCTGTGGAAGTTCACAATCAATCAGGATAAACATTTTACTTAATTGCTTACTTAACACTTCTGATTTTTCGACATCTCTCTAGCCCAAGAACTCGTCTTATTTCTAATTGGAACATTTTGTGTTGGTGCCTTTTGTTTTACTACTTTTAAGAGTAAAATAGTTTAAATATTTTTTTCGAATCTAATATTGGATAATATTGGACCAGTATAATCAATCGAATTAGTATACCTTTTTCTAATTTAATGTGCGGTAATCACTAATTAATAGAGCTAATGCATAGCACTTTTGTGCAAGAATTTTTTTGACTGATTGTATTAAGTAGTGCCCGTACAAAATAACTAATCAAAATTAACTCTAATTAATAAATGAATATGTATATGAGAAAAACAAAAAAACATGAATACATAGCTAAGAAATCTAACACATCTAATTATATATTTATGCTTTTTTCATATAATTATCAGTGCACAGCCGAAGATAAAGCGTTTAAAAGGGACATTTGTTAGATAAACATTTTAAAGAGATGTTGATTTTTTTTGTTATGTTTATTAATAATTATAATTGCAAATTGTTATAATTACCATGTTTTATAATCAACAAAATACTTTGTAAAAATTAACAAGGCAATTAAATTGCCTTTTTCTAGTTGTTCACAATTAATTTTTTTTTTTTGTGACAAACAACAAACAACAATATTTTTGTGTATTTAATACGAATTATTTAATTATATCCTTGTTGCATTTAAATTGAAGATTTATTAGAAACATTTACCAAACGATTTAGGGATACTTTCAAATTGTAGTCTTTAAACAATTGCGGCTGGCTTTCATCGTTTGAAACCCCGTTTACGATTGTATTATGACTGTCGTATGTCGTATGCTTATGTAAGTTAAGATCTCTTATTGATTCTATAGTTGCTTTTATTAGTTCCAGATTGACGGTTTAATGTCTGGATTTATTGAAGCAGTAACCGCCTTTAAATACTGCCCTTGATTTTATTTATAACATATTTTTGTTATTGTCGTGTTAATTGTTGTATACGCGTATGTTTTTATGTGTGTGTGTCTGTAAGTATATGTGTATGTGATGGATTTTGTGTTTTTATTTTATTGACCACTAACTAAATGTTAGTGGTTTACCTATTGTCATTTAGTATTTTTATGACGCTGTAATTATTTGCTTCATAAATAACTCTCTCATCTCCGGTATATTGTTGTAATAAATCATTCGGCACATTTAAATTGCATAAGAAACTTTGTATATATTTTTGTGCTTGAAAACCATCTACGGGCAGTATCGGAAGTACTGCATATTTAAGACTATTGGATATATTGAACTTTGTAGGTGGATCGACCACAAGTACTGGCGCTCTTGTACGATTAACCCAAGCTAGTACCTCTGTAGTCCATTTTTCATCATGGTTAGCTTGCATCAATAATACAACAAAATCGGCTCTGGGTATAAGTCTGACATTTCGAATTAACTGGCACCGCTCTGAAAATACCTGAAAATGTCGATAATGACGATGCATTTCAAAATTTGATGCCGACTTATAACACGATTTTTTACTTATGTGTAAAAATGTATTCAAGCCAATTGTTGCTAAAGAAAGCACAACATTCATACTAAGTTCGTATGCACTTTCATTTCGAGCACATAAAATCGCACCCGTAGCATTCATAATATTATTTTTTGGTTCGAAACACGTGTGTAGCATTGTCACTATCAAGTCGGTTATTCTTTGTCCAAATAATATATTTTGTTCGGGAGCGGTCACACCTCTAGCTGCTAGTTTTGCTTGCATCTCATACCGTTTAGACAAACTAATACTTGGAACTAAAAGTCCTTTCTCAGTTACAAAAACTGGATTATCTAAACAACGGTAATTAAATAAATTAATATAGACAGTGTTAACAAATTTACCTACCATCGTTGATGAAATTCGAAGTTGAAGGTGCACTGGAAATCTTTATTTTAGAACCCTTTTTTTTCTTACCGGAGTTAGAACTTGCTTTGTTACCATCAATTGAATGCGACAAACTAGTGGTATTTGCATTCGCTGTAAAACTGCAAGAAGGCATTGTAAACGTATTACTTGCATCAGCTAAGTTTTCATTAATAATTTCAGCGTTTTTATCCAAAGTATTGCTATCTTTACTTGTTTTTTCTAAATAAAAAAAAATTATTATTTTCGGATACAGTTATTCATTTCTATTGAAATCTTAATCTTCATTTCAATATATAAACTTACTTGCAACAACAGCTGATGATATTTGATTTTCATAAGACTGGCCAAACAATATCGCAGTGCCTTTCGAAGAACCAGAAGGATGACTGTCTCCTGATGTTACATTAAGATTCTTGCTAACAACTGCACCAGATTGGTCAGAAAGATCAGTGCCTTTTGATGTTATATTAGGATTCTTACTGACAGTTGTACCAGAAGTTGTACCAGGGTCAGTACGCCACGATATAATTTCAGCGGTATTTATATTGTTAATGTTAATAAAATTCCTCACTTGCTTTATTGAACTGTCAGGTAATACTGGTGCCCCTGCATTGTAACTTAGAATTTTATCATTATGTTGTAGTCTTTGGTTGTGGACATAATTATAATCAATTGGTGGACAAGCAAACATATTATATCGCTGTTGTAAATAATGTTGACGTTCTGCAAATGGTAAAGCTGGTAACGGTGGCATGCGTTCAAATGGCTCCATTACACAAAATTGCTCAGGTGAAACCTTATCAATATGACGTGGTGGTAAACGAATTGGTTGGAAACTGGATGTATTTGCTGAGACATTTATTGAAGGCAACATAATAGGTGGTGTGTATTGTTGCGATAAAGTTGGTTTGCTTTGATTTTGTTTAACAACAGTTTTTGGCACATCAGTCGATGAACAGATACTAGCTGCTTGTCTTGATCTAATTTGCAAATACTCCTCTACAGGCATGAATGGAGCAATCCTTGTAAAATCAGCAATATCACACACGCTAATAAAATGAATGACCATATAAAAAAATTAAATTCAAATAAATAAGCTATATTTTTAATTAAATTTTATTTGGCTTTAACATAACACATTTATATACCTATATCACTGTTGTTCCCCCCACTTTGATTGCTTAGGGGTTCGATTTAAAAGTTGTACGAAAACTAACCAGATTGGTTTTATCTAAATCTATTGTTATAGTATAGTAATAAAAAATAAAAAAAAATTATAAGTCATTATTTAGCTTTTAAATCTGTTTTAATGTCTTCAAAGTACTCATTTTTCGATATATTACATTTATGCCAAACTTTTTGCAAAAACCCTTAAGGTGTATAGAGATTCGGCGTATTAATCTCAAATAGTGTCAAAACTGCGACAGTTATGGAACAATGTGAGTTAAGTTTTTGGCGAAATTATGGTGTAAAAATCAAAAATTCTCTCACCATGGCTGAAGAAATTCATGATGCACTACACTACTATAATCTAATAATCGTTAACCTTAATTAAAAATTAGTTTACTCTTTTTAGACACAAAAAGGTTTTTCAAAATGGTCCGGACTATTTCAAATAAAACATTTATCAATTAATTTCTAGAAATACTTCTAAGAATAATACTATTGTGAAAATTTAAACTTTTAAATAGAATTTAATGTTAAATCCAAATCAAATATAAAAAATTAATATTCTTGATTAATTAAAAATAATTAGAATCAGAAAAAAAATTAAATATTTAAGGAGGTATATTTTTTTTAAATCAATTTAATCTATACTTAGTACGTATAAAACTAATATCATTTTGAAAATTTTAAATTTTTAAAGAAATTTAATGATAAATCCAAATCATATATAAAAAGTTAATATTTTTATGGTATATACTTCAAAATTTCATTTGAGTGAAATCAAGTGCGTATACCTAACTCGGGAGATACAGGTTCATTTAAAATTTTAAAATTATTTCTAAAAATAGTGTCGTCGAAAATATTTTAGTTTGTAAATAAAATCCTTTCATAAATCTAAATGATTTATTCTCGATGTATATTTTATAAAAAGTTTTTTAAATTAACGATTAAAATTTGTATTTAAATATAAGCAGCACCAATTGTTTAAGCTATTTCTAAAATATTTGATCACTTATTCTTACATTGTGAAAAATTTGAAGCCTCCATCATTTATAGATTCTTAGGTATGGCCATTTAAAAATTGGTATCAAAACCCCATAAGTCGTAATCCATGGGGTATTAAATTCTTAGGTATGGCCATTTAAAAATTGGTATCAAAACCCCATAAGTCCTAATACATGGGTTATCAAAACCCCAGAGCTCCGTATCTAATAGGAAACAAATTTAAACATTTTTTTCGAGATGCTAGTATTTTTACTTCAGTTAAAAGTTTATTAAAATCACCAAAATTTACATTTTGGCATGCAGAAAAAATCTGTTGAAAACCTCAATAGAAAGATTAAACTAAATTTATATTAACAGTTGTAAATTTTTACTATATCAATTTTAATTTTTCTTGTTTACAAATAATTACACAAACAGAAATGTCAATTTATGGATTAGATATAACAGCGTTTTACTTTTTCGTGTATTATTCTTTCTAAACGCTATAGCTTTTATCAAATTAATAATAATAATTAACGTCACAAAGACACAAGATACTTACTCAAAACAAAAAGGGTCTATAAACAAAAGATACAAAATAAAAATAAAGGCACAAGATACTAACTCAAAATATAGAACTGAATCCAGGTACTCGTAATCCTCCGGATCCTGTTGCCACATAACCAGATCTTTTAACACAATGCAACTTTGATCGGAATACATAATTATACCTTGAAAATATTGATCGGATGTCGTTTTCAAAACTACTCCACAGCCACAACGTATATCCAATAAATCCATTTTTGGTTTGAGACCGTGATATGTCACATAAAGAAAGAAAATAAATTCTTCAAACTGCAGAAAAAAATGAGATTTTGCAATTTTTACATTTCATCAAATTATCACATATATATATATATCTACATTAATATATATGAATATATCTAAAGTATATTGTTTAAAAATGAAATTAACGCGCAGTATTAATTTAAGTCGAAAAAAAAAATCAAAAGTCCATAAAGCAGAACGGCCAATAACAGTGCCGAGAGGATTTTGTAGACATGTAAACATTTGTAATTATAAGGCTTAACTTTTGACCAGTTTGAAGATGTTTTCAGATTAAAATAACTTCTCGCAAAATTTTTGATTTTATAAATCAAAAATTATCGAAAAAAGTGAATTAATAAATTTTTTACGAAGGCTTTCGTGTTGAAATAGATCCGAAACCGAGTTAAAACGATTTGTATTAATTTTACTTTACAAATTCAATTTTTAACTCTAAAAGCTATTAATTATCAAACTAACCACCTACTTTGAACTACACTACCAACTGAATCGTATTGTATTCAATTGCACAGAATTAAGGAATTTTCTAGAAATAGAATATGTCGCCCTATATCCCGGAATAACAAAATGGTGGAAATCTTTTGCTTTATTTAAGTCAATAAATAATTTTCAATATTTATTAACTATAAAAAATGTACAACGTTATATCAGATATCTGTTTACCTTTAAATACACGAAACTTGTAATTTTAAGTTAATTATTTTTGTAAAACTGACGAACGAACTTATTTGATATCCAAACAATGGCGAGCGACTTATTTTGAAAAGAAAAGTAGCTGTAATGTTGAATCTTGAAGTAACTAACACAGAGATGTATTATAAAGTAATATAGGTTAAGCATCTAGCATTTATTAAGGGTTGTCATATACCATATAGCTAACGTGTAAAAACGTTGCTATTTTATTCCACATGAAGTGTTAATAAGCTTCGTGAACGTCCCAAGCTAATTAGGTGGAATTTAATTTATTCTTTTTATATATAATGGTAGTTACAGCTAAACACCATACTTTTCAAGTTCAAGTCAAGTGAAATTAAAAAGAACAGTGTTCTTGCACACAGAAAGATATGGGAACGCTTTCAAATAAAAATCTAGTAAATTTAGTTGTATGTTGTTTTTCTACCGTTTTGATTAAGTATAGAAATAATGATTTTTTTTGTATCAAATAGTTTGGATAATGATAGATAAGTATAATAATAGATTTTTTTTTATTTATATTCATTTATTCATATAAATATTGTTTGTTTTATATACCATTATGTGTAGAATATTTCATATATTCATGTTAGAGAATTGGGGTACTCACTAATAAGTAATTAGTAAGTGCCAGCTTATATTTATGTCGGGGATAAGGATATTTGCATAACAGTAGAGTGGGTTCCGAGATTTTATCTATTTTTACTTCGCAAAGTAATTATATGGTAACTAAAATTTTTGCTGCATATATATTTTATTGCGTTTATACAAACTATTTTTAGCTATACCATTGTTTACAGGAACTACTTGTTTTTGGTGGACCATTATCACATATGGTAAAAAATTAACATTTCGCTTATAGTGTTTTTCTCTTTATTAATGAAAATGAAAAAATCTGAACTTTTCAATTTAATTAAATTAGAAATTAGAAATAGTGATAAAAATCTTACTAATTGATATGATCATATTTATAACAGAACATCAATCAGATGTTTTTCGACATTACTTGGATTTAACTTACTATATATATATATATATATATATATATATATATATATATATATATATATATATGTACTAAAGTAAATTCTATAAAATACGACATGACAAGCTGCTTTCACAAGCTCTCACTTTTCTTGATTTTGGATACGGGAACAGGCAACAGTAAGATTCAAATAACTTTTTATGAACTTATTGTGTACCAATATAGTTCAGATGAGTTCTAACTTAAAACATATTCTTAAGATATGTTAACTGGATGTTACAGATATCCAAAGTAAACAATAAATTTGTCTACAAATTTTTAAAAAGCTTCTTGTTCCACAAGAAACACAAAACTTGCTCTCACATATGTCAAATAACAAAAAAAAAAGAACTAAGAACACAAAAGATTTTAACTTTGCATTAAGAACCCAAAACAATGACCGAACATTCTGCTTTAGAAAAGCTGTATTAAAAAGCTTAATCCTTTTAACAACATTCGTGTTTAAAGATTAGACTATTTCAGATCGTCTTGATGAAAGTATTTTTACTGACTTAAATATCAATATAATTTAGTTATCTATAATATTTTATATATGAAAGATATGAAAGATATGATAATAAATAGATTTTCATAGCGTAAATAATTTATTTTGACAGTGTGGGTACCATATTAAGTCAATCAATTTATATAATTAACTGCTTTGGAGCATTAAAATTAATAATTAACCCATGTACTCATGTTTTGGAAAAATTTTTAATATTCTTTTAATTAAAAATTTTCATTTCATTTATGCGAGTACCTTTCGTACTATTAAAATTGTAAAATTTAAATCCTGCAATTTTTTAACTAATAAGTATGTATGTACATTAATTAACGAAGAGTATATAATATACTGCACATATACATGAAAAAAAAAACAAATGAGAAAAAGACGTGGCAACAATGAACAAAAAATATTAAAATGGGTATCCGCAAGTGGAAACCGTGGAAGACGACATTCGGTACGGTGGAAGGACAGGATTTGGAGGCGTTCGGCACTACCAACTGGCGACAGCTAGCAACAACTAAGCAAGTAAGTAAGTATCCTCTCAAGCAATAAATACTAGCAGCTTTGGAGGATATTAAAATCAACAAACCTATAAATATTTTCACACCTAAGCTATACAAAAGAATCAAGACCGGATATAAATTTGTTAAATTGATCGTGTTTCTTACTTTATTGTATGCATTTCCCTTTATCTTAAGAAAACACATTACATCCATTTTTAAAGGTAAAGAGCAGTTTGTTTAGAACACATTTGCTTTTAGCACATTGTTATTAAATAATATTATTATATTTATTATGTCATTCACATTAGTGTTTCACAATCCAAAAACTTCTAAAAATCGAAAAAATTTTTAGTGTTATTTAGCGTTAGCATTAATTTCAGAATACCATTTCGAACATTTACAATATAATACTTATAACACTAAGAACAGTAGTACTCACAACGCGAATCTGTAGCTGTTTTCGAATTGATCAATAAGAATTTATGCTTAATACTATTGTGAAAAAATGCTATATTAAAATCTCAATGCAGTGATTCCTAACTTGATATTTATAAATATTTTCCACAATTATAATTAAACACTTGGAATATATTCACGATTTACAACCTCAATAAAAAAACAATCTCTTCAATGGTATATTCAAGTCGAAACTTGATTCTAAACACTTTTCAAAAACTAGATTGAAATTCTTCGGAGCTGCACGTTTGAAGACGCTAAGCTTTATCTCTAACATTGGGAAAAACTGTTGAAATTCAATATTGATACACACTTCTCAAATAATGAGTAGTAAGATTCAATCTGGTATCGCGGAAAATCTAACTTGTTAACAATGCTGCACTTGTCAATTCCATTTTTCTGCAAACTAGATTAATGCTTTCTTCACTTAATGAAATGGAGAAATGGTCTTTGTGAAAGCACTGTTGTTTTTGTTTTTGGTTAATTTGTTACTTCAATGTAACGATTTTCTTTAATATATTTGCTGAAAACATTAATTCGGTATGATATAAGCAATAATCAATGATTGACTAATACTAGCAACCATACTCTTTATAGATTTTTAACAGGTCTCGTTTTGCTTAGAGTAGAAATAATATCGTAAGTGCTCCAAAGTCAAAGAATACCAGCGAAGCTGATAGGACTGATAATCTTAATTTCGATGAACTATACAACAAGAATATTTGTGGTGACCTGCAATTCATACACAAAAATAATTTAAATTCGAAACTGCACAATATACATCAGTAAGCTATTAACACTGTAGACATCTCTGCCAGCTACAACGATGCCACAGCCGAACACCGAGAGGTTTCAAAAAGAAATTTAAATCGTTTAATAATAAAGCATTCCAAACTAGATGACGAAAATCGAGGTGCACCTCACAGTGTCAGACATCAGCAACTTTTCTCTTCTTCATATAGGGCCGTTGTTTCGCGATTTCTTCCTTCGAACGCAGCAATGTAGCAATCGCTACTGATAGTATGGTCAGGCCTTTTTAACACCTGTCTGCTGCGTTTTTGGCTGCAGTACGTGAGGTTCGCCTGCTGGGCGTTCAGCATCATCGGTTTAGCATTTATATGGACGCGTTCAAAGTCAGCAAAACTCTTATCTACCATTTGCCTTATTGGATCAGAGTCTGGGTAGCACTTACTAAGCCGAGCTTTTGCTGTCACGAAATTGCTTTAAATCCATTGTTCTGAAAGTATGAAAAGTAACGTCGGTGAAACAACTGTAAATAAATGTTATAAACGATTGAATTTTAATAGGCATTACTTAAAAGTTAAAATGTGTTTTATAGAATTTATATGAGTTCATCAATTCCTATATGGAGACTTACTCAGAATATGTTTTCGCTTTAAGCTTGAATGGCTATTTGACTATGAGACAGTTATAAGTAATGTGAAATCCCTACGTTTGAAAGAACTTAGCATAAAATGTAATGAATGGTGGAAATATGTTAAAAATCAAGCAAAAGCTCGATCGAAAAACCACTGGTTAAATGTAAATAACCAATAGATGAAAATAACTTAAAAAAATGAAGAGCCTAAGCTATGAACCACTATAATAGATCCGTTAATATGGAAAGAAATTATGTAATAGGCTTCAACGTATAGTGATCTATAGGTTTAGTATGTCCAAATCTGTCATCCATTGTAATACAATATTATAAGTGAAAGAAGAACAAATCTTATTTTACTTTTTCTCTCTTTAAACAGTTTATCCTTAGTTCGGAATATATTTATGATATATAATTTTTTGTTTCTCAATTTTTAATTTTTTAACTTTAATTTGTTAAAATTGAATCTTTAAAATTTTATTTTTGTAGAAAAAAATTGTTTTAATTGATTTATTATTGATGGATTATTTAGATGAAGACAAATTACGACATGTGCATATATGGAAGATATTATGTCTGATGTAGACTAATGGGATACTTAATTTATTTTGAATATATGTTTTAATTATGTTTCCTTGATATAAAGAAGGTTGTAGATTTCAGTTTAATTGTAAATAGTTTTTTTTATTCACTTTCAGGTTATTATTTAACTGTCTGAGAAAATACTGGTGGATCTCATAATAACAGATTGATGTTTAACTGAAAGCAATTAATTTACTTATAGCTTTTTAAGTTAATTCTGTTTTAATTTGAGTGTTGAAAGTAGTTCTCATTTACAGATTAAAATAAAAATAGAACCTATTACTTTTTTTTCATTAACAGCTGCAATTACACTTCAAATACAATAAATAATGAATTTTACTTTAAAATGTAAAAGAATTCTTTCTCAAAATTCGGCAAGTCAAAGCAGTCATTTACATCTTCCTTCCTTCTAATAACTTGGCGCAATCATATTGAAGCGAAAAAAATTCAGATGAAGCTCCAAGCCTCTAAGTTGCATTGGCTCATTAATAACAGATCCTCCCTGTGGCTAGAGTATAAAGTACTCCTGTATAACAACATCATAAAACCAATATGGACTTATGGTTTCCAGCTATTCGGTAATGCTCGTGCTTCAAATATTGAAATTATCCAAAGAGCTTAGTCAA